TTTAATCACTTTGGGTCCTATTCACAATGAAGAGACTTATGTACATGCATGCAAAACAATCTGTGTTTCCAGGCCAGCAGCAAATGGCCCTCGTATTTCTCTTCTGTGACAAAGGAAAATATACATTACTGACTACCTGGTTAATAGGCATTGGTGATTTTAAAACTGAGGCATAGCATTTTGTAGAAAAGCAGTCTATGACAGGCATAAACAAATGAGGCTTTTGAAAAAGGGTTTGCACCAGACCTCATTCATGAATGGAAAAAAATGGACAAATTGCTCAGATTACAAGAGTAATCAAAAAGAAAATGACATCAAGGAGTGTAAGACAGCCCAGAGTTACCCCAGCAAACCCAGAGGCAACTCCAAATACAACTGCTTGAGGAGTCTGCCAAGAAGCCAGATGCAGCTCATGCTAGAGGAATATCTTCTATGAATTAGCTTCTGAACCCTGCAATTGCCATCAAAAGCAAAGGATCAGGAATACAATATGCTGGGGTAAATGGCAGCGATGACAAAGCCATACTTTGCTATGTCTTAAAAAGTGCTTTTTAAATGAATTTTAAAAAAATAAGAAGGGCTAAGAAAAGGTGAACTTAACTATAAGAAATAAGCTTAGTCACACAGTAGCTAATGAAACACAGCTGTATAAACTGTTTAAGGCACCCTGTGACTATATGATTTGAGATTGGTAGCATAAGCAATCGTACTAGTCCAAGTACTCACGTGGCTAATTTCATCCCATTGAAACATCAGAAACTGCTGGGAATAAAAAGGTGTTTTTCTGCCTCACCGAAAAATTTTGAAAACATGCAAATTTTGTATTGGTAATTCATCATTTTATGCTAACACATTGCCACAAAAAGACCCCACTTTTAAAGGACTAGGTCTTTCACTGGTATCAGCTAGTGTAGATCTACAGATTCCTAGGTACCAGCTCAGAAACCTACATGAGAGGAAACCACAGAGCAAAGAGTGCTTTTGGAACAACAAAAAAGTATCCTTAGACCTGGTAAAAACAATAGGCTGAATTCCATTCTCAAAAATAAACAGAAATTTGAGCGTGGCAGAGCCTTGAAAAAGGAAGTAAAATTTTTCTCTGGGTATTGAGACAAAAAATGTGTAATTACTGTCCAATATTGCCCAATATTGCTTTCAGTTACGTACATGCAATTCCACTTGGTGATCTTGGAGTAGAAAAGGCAAGAACAAAGATCAAATTGGATTCCAAATTTTCAAATAAAGTATTAACAATGAACTTTTCCCTCATCTATCAGCACAGTATTTCAATAGCATGTGCACAATACTGCAGTGCATATAAAGTATTTCAAATACCACAAGGATTTAAATTAAGGATTTAATTAAGGGTTTAAATTATATTAAGATGCATCATCTAATTTTCCATTTAAAACACTGATAAAAAATTAAACACTTCTAAATTACTGAAGTATTTAGAAGTCCACTATTTATGTATTTGTACCTGAACAGACCAAATTGAGGTTCTCTTGCTGTCCAGTCACCTTCTCTTTGAGTAACAGAGATAGGTAGTTCTCTTCTTCTGTTACCTTTATCTATCTGTTTTGATCTTTTATTCCAATATCACATTTACCATGTAATATTGATCTTCTAACACATTTCACCATTCTCAGAGCTGGTCACACATCAGGCATAACTGTTCAAGTTCAATTATTTACCATGCCCTCCTGGTTTCATATGCATTTGTAAGAGCTTCCACTCAGCCTTTTCATAAAATAACTTGATTCTTGATAATTTTATTTTGTTTGTTTCCTCACTCTCCCTCTTCACATTCTCCTGGTTTAATTGTCTTCTTTTATTACCATTTACAAACATCGTGGGTGTATATATTGGTGAGGAGGAGTTTTTTTACCAGTCTGACAGATGCAAGGACATATGGCCAATTTTAGTTTTCTTTCACTCTACTCCTGCAAAGCTGCTCATGAGATATTCCTAGTACAGATGCCTATATTGAACCAAGTTAAAAGGAATCTGCTCATTACATTTGCTTCTGGATTATTTTAACCAGTTATACTCCAAAAGACTTTTCAATGAAAGATCAGCAGATTCTTTCTGAGGCTTCTGCTCCTGTGGGTATTATCCTTAAATTCTGTTCCTGACTGCAGAAGTCTCTTTTCTTTCTCTTTCCAACCTTCTGTCAAAACCTCTCACTCTTCTTCCTCAGCACTTTTCCTAGGATTCCACACCCTTGTTTATTCCCCTGTTTTTATTTGCTGCGTTACACTGTATTAAAAAATCCCACCAAAGGAAAAAGAAGGATGATAGATTTTGAAGAGCATCTCTTTTTAGCTAGTCTTCAAATTAACCGAATGAATATGAAAAAACCCTAAAAATTACTTGAGTCTTTTAGTGGCAAATTTTAGAAGCCATTGGCAATTCCAAAAAGAAGTCCCTTGCTAATGTACATCAGTTGGACACGCCAAAGTCACAGTCATATAGGTACTCATTCATTCAAATGGTCCATGTGATAAAATCAGTATACTCCATATATGGAAGGAGTGGAGATGGTTTTCCATTATTCTCATGAGGACCAGGGGAGAAGAATTAGTCTAATTTAGTATAACCTCTAGCCAAACTTGGAACAATTCAAAGCTCCTGGATTGTGTTGCGATGCAAGGGGACCATCGTGCTGGAGCACGTTTCAGTCGAGACTTCCTCCAAAGAGCTCCCTTTGCCAGGACATGGAGAGGGACTGGCATCCAGCCAGTAAAGCTGTCTCTGTGCCAGGGAGACATTCCTTCATGAAAAATAACTTCCCAACAGTCCTAGAAAGACAATTTTAATTTCATTTTGCAACATTCAATGACACAAAAGGATAGCAATGGACTAAGACTCGATCATCTAGTTTTACAAATGACAGGGACTGGTTTTTCTGAACTTTGTTCCAAGTTTTAACTCACTTTGATCTAAAGTTCATCACATAAGTAGTGTTTCTTTTAAATTTTATTTATAAACACAGTTTTACAGAATTTCACAAAATGCAACATGCATACACACACACACACAAAACAGCTGGATGCAGGGGATTAAACAAATTTCCCCAGAAACAAAAAATGTGAATGGCAGAAGATAAAATTGCATGCAAAATTTAAGTTTTTACTTTTTAGCTTGCCAAAATTAAAGACATTGTAATAACGTGCTTCAAAAACATAAAAGGAACCCAATACAGGACTGATTCTTTTCTTTCAAGGCTTACAACACTCAGTAGGAAAAGGCTTGACTGCAAAACAGCTAATAAATGGGGACATGTCTGCTATGCTATTTTGTATTCTCCTGTCTTCTCTAATGTGATAGGTCTCTAGGTATTAACACAACTGGGGAGGAGATGGTCATAAACAAGCTGTCAAGCATAACTAAGCTATTGTTTCTGAATCTTTTAATAAATGTATAAATGCAAAGTTGGATCATTTGTAGTAATAAGGTGTGCTGTTTAGGAGATATTTGTTTCCATGGTTATCAGCACAGACTGGAACACCGTTCCTTCTACGGCTGTGTGGTATGGGATAAAGTCATACTCATATAAATAGGAGGCACTCTATATGGCCAGCCTTTCACTTGAGAACAAGTAGAAAGGCAATGAAATAAATAGACAAGTGAAGAACTGAGAGCAGGCTAGAAGTAACATCCCAATAGCTTAAATTCCTCTTCAGCTAATGTATATAAAGCTTCCTATTTACTGGCTCTGGGCAACTCATTCTCTGTCTGGAAGCCTCTCTGTCTCTTCGTTGGTTAAGCAGAGAAGCTTTGATGGAATTCAGAAAATTCAAACACAGCCCAAGGACCCAAGGAAAACATTCTGTACAGCAGAAAAAAACATATTTTTTTTTCTGTAGGAGACCAAATAACATGAAAGAGGTAATTTCAAAGATTATCATCAAAACATCCATATGACAACACCACTAAATGCTTAACACTTTCAGTTAAGCATTTTTAGCTAATATTGTGACATTAATGTGTTTTGAATGCCATACAAAAGTAAACCACAATGTAGTCAGCTAACTTCAGATGACCACCAGTATGTCACATAGCATGAATTTTGAGCTTGTACTTACGGTATTAAAGAATTGTACTGACTACCTCATTCCATGAATAAAGATACTTGTAAAACAGATTTTCCTAACAATTTCTCTCTCTTTAAACCCTCTTGATCCCCCAATGTCCAAGAAATAAGTTTATGTGAGTCCTTCCTTCAAAGTAAATACAGGTTTTCTCCATTTTTGTTCTGTACTGATGCTAATTTTCCCCTAGATTTGTAGACAGTACCTTTGAAATCCATGACATTGTGGCTGAAATTAACTCAAAGACTGAAAATTTATTAAGATGCACAGGCACATATATGCAGTTTCTCCAGCACTGTTTCCATAGGAAAGTGTGAGTATACATATCTACAAAGCAAAATCTCATAAATCTTTGGGGCTAGATAAACAAACATTTTCAAAATAGCAGACCCAAAGCATGTATGTTGATTCTGATTAAGACACACAAATGCACCATGTACTCATGTTACAGTTTGATAGAAAAGCCATACAAACTCCTCCTTCATGTGTTAAGCAAGGCATTGGCACAGCAGGTACATTTTATGTGCCCTATTACACAAATATGCCACATCCTAAAAAACCCCAACTACAAATTAACAACTTCTTAGTATCACAAGTTAATAAGTGGGTGCAGTCACATCAATGTACATTCACTGTTTAAATAAACAGGAACAAAAATATACATATCATTACTTGCAATTGAGAGAGCAGTACACAAACCCTACTGCCAGAATAGTATACCTTAAACCTCCATTGATAATATTTTGGTTTTAATCCGTCAAGATAAACAAATAATAATTAAGCAAGTCACTTTGTATTAATACATCACCTACCCCTGTCACTGCACATCAAACTACGATCATCATAATAGTATTCATTAGTAAACTGTGTGTCAGCTTTGCACTTTGCTACAGATTGTTTCCTTACCAGCTGCCAAGGTTTGCCCCATGCCTGGCTCACTGGTTACACAACCAATTTGATTGCAGAGAGTAACAGTAAAGTTGTATGTCCTGTAAGGTTTCAATCCCGTTGCTACATAGGAGAGCTCGTGAGCCTCAGCTATGTGCAAAACCTGCAAAGCAAACAGATTGGAAGACAACAGTTGGTTAATAATATTTTCATTCCTGTCAATTGATGACACGTTCACTAATAAGAAACTTTTCTCTGAATTTGCAGATTCCTTCACTCAGATGTGGAAAAGCCTACAAAGACCAGCTGAGGGAGAGGATTATTTTGGAGAATCTGAACAAGCTGGGATTTAGGTGATAATACTTCCCATCACACTGTTTTATGAGGTAATAAGCCAGTTCCTGAGTGGATAAATGAGGAAACAAAGTTATTGCCTCATAAAACTGTGTGGTGGTGTAGTTATCACTACAAACAGCGCAGCTACAATTGAGATGATGAAAATGACACTATTAAGTTGTGAAATCTGACCACCATTGAAGGAGTGACATGATTAGCAGGCATTAGGAGGGAGGGGAATAACTAATATCTACAGACATTTGCATCTGCTTTACTTTAACATTACTATAAGCTATCAGAGGGAGGACAACTGAATAAACTGTAGCATTTTAGGTAATTTCATTATCAGATGTTAAGATGAAAAATCTTGCAAGCTTCTGACCAGAAGCAATTGGCATTTATGTATTGTTACAACAGCCCCAGGAGCAGTAGTATCCCCACAAATAAACTGAGGCCCATCTTGCTAGTGAAAGACAAAATCAGCTCTGAAATGAGAAATACGATATCAGATCACCAGATCCACTCCCACATTCTGATTACCTATCATATTTCTTTGCTCGCTGCTAAGCTTTTAAGCTTACTACTAATGCCATGATATTTGTTTGCCAAACCCAGTCACTCAAAAACTATAACAGTATTTTAAAGTCACATATTTTGAATTTTTAAAGATGGTTTTTCTGGTATTTTAGGCTTTCCCACTTCAAATATACATCCATCACCCAGGAAGCCAGATAGATTCCTTCCTTAAGTGAATTACAAAGGTAATTTAAATGCTGTTGCATAATCTCATCCCTCCTAATTTTCAATCTCACCCACTACTGGAAATATGTCAGCTCAGGAATACAATTTAAAACCTAAAAGTAGTGTATAACATTACAGAGAACTCAAACTGATAGGTGGAAAAGTTTAGATCAGAGAATATGCAGCAAATCAGAGAAACAATTCATCACAACACCTCAGAGGACATCAACCTATCAATTTTGATACTAACAGTTAGGAAAAACTTAATGCAACTAACAATAATACCTGGGGAAAGGACTTCTGTTCAGTCATCAAACTGACACTGTATCCCATTACTTCACCTCTTGCTAAATTATCTTCAGGTTTTTCCCATGATACATTGAGGGAATATGGTGAAAGAGGGAATACTGATGGAGATGGCATGAATACTGGGGCTGAAATTAAGTTAATATAATTATATTAATAAAAGAAGTGAACAATATGTATAATACAAGCTTTCTCATTGCATTTGTAAAACCCTATTTCAGACAATCCTCTTTTATAACCTTATATTCAAGTCTAGCTGGAGTTTACATCTTATTTTGAGAGGAAACAAAAAGTACCTTGCTCATCATTCTCCTGTCTTCTACTCTAGCTGTGAATGCAGAATAAATCTCTGCCTATGTCTTCAAAGAAATACTCATCAACGCTACAGTTCTAGCCATTCTAGTAGGTAGGAAAGTATAAAGAAATGAAAAGGTCTTGTAGAAAAACTTCATGCAACCTGGGAAAAAACTGATAAAAGCAAAAAGTGTTCACTACTTCCGCATCTTAAAAGCAATTCTGTTTGCTAGGCCAGTTTGAAATTAACATGTCTCTCACTTCTTACAAAACAGTTCCCCTGTCTTCCATAGTAAATCTGTTAAAGGATTGTTTGCACTGCAGTTAAATCCCCACCTGATTACTCTGTAATAATAGGATACCAACTCATAGCACTTCTGCTACATACAAACAACCACACTAATGGACCTCTTCCCAAATACAATTTAACACTTTTATAACATATAGTATTTAAAAACAGATAAGCACAAAGACTCATTTTGAAAAGGGAATTAGTTTAGCCTGCTGTATGCAGGAGCAAATGACTGAGGATATGATTTTCAAGCTAACAGCAAACAAAAGCACTAGTAAAGTAAGAGATGCAAATGATAGGCTCTATCAGCCTGAAAACCTTAGATTTCTACTGAAATCATTGAAATAAATTGCTCATATTTCAAATCATATGTCAAGTGGCAAGTGCTTTTGAAAATCTGAACAGAAAGGTCACAATAAGAGATATTGTGAACTGGTTACACTTTGGAAAAAAATTGATCCATATTATGACATAATTATTGGCCTACATAAAAGCATATGAAAAGTTTCAAGCACTATGCTCCTGAAAAGGTAACCCGCTCAGGTTCTTCAGACTGAAACACTGCCTGGTATATTTTGCAATCTTGAAGTTTAAATTTTGGACTAAATGACATGGAATCTTTTCTTCAACAACATGATTTTATGGTGAAGAAAAGCTCTTGCTTAACATGCTAAATTCTGAGACAATCTGACCTATCTTTAATTAGTTAAAAATGAGAATTTATTTGGACCACAACTAGAAACATTTAACTTCAAAAGAAAAATAAATTAAGAATACATTCAAATAAATTCAAACCAGCACTTCCCAGCCTCTCCTGTTTGTCCTGATACCCAGTCTGAAGATACACTACCTGCCATGTTTACTGCTAGCACATAAAATTCATACTCTGTGAATGGTTCCAGATCAATGACTGTGGTACTGGTTTGCGGTGGAGCCAGGGCATTTTCATTACGAGATTCCACAACTGGTTGAGGACTGAGCCATCCACTGCTTTGGAAAACACGAATTTCAGGAGAAAGAAAGTTCCCAGATGGTTTTAATTTTTTTCTCATGTAAAGTTCATATCTTATAATTATACCTAGAGAAAAAAAGTAAGCCAGAAAAATTAGCGAATTTAAATGATTTCCAGAGTTCTACTATCATACCAGCACCAATATATTTAATGGGTTATCAATCAGTCAATCAAATTTCCAGAAAAAAAGCAGCATTAGAATTTTTTTCATTTCTGGTATTTTCATCCAAATGCTCACTTTGGCATTTCTTGCATTACACTGTTTATATTTTTGGGATGTGAAAACAAATAGCTGGGTTACAGTATGAGTTCCGCTACACTTACTGAAAGATGACCTCTTTCTATTTTCATTTTTATTTTAGATGATGAGTAGGGAATTTTAGAGTTACATTTTAATACTAACATTTTAGAACATACTACTGGATTGGAGATATATGTGTGTCATTTTGCCATCAATGTAAACCTATTATGTATGCAGGAAAGCTTCACCACTTTGGCATATGAAACAATAAATGATCTAGGTTGGATTGTGGAAATAGTTTAACTATAAGAATAGCTTGTAAGAAATATGACTGGAGATTTCCCAAATGGAAAAGATGAGAGACATGGCAAAGCCAGGAGATAATTACAATAAAATGTATATATTTGGGGCTGTATTCATATGAGAAACATCGTCTCTCTTCGTCTTTGGAGAGACCAGGAAATGAGGCCAGACATCAAAAGAAATATTGAAATATTGCTTCGATCTGCCTGTGCTGGCTATTACATGCATGTAAAGGCTGTGAAGTAAACTATGAAGAGTATATGATACATATTGAAGGACAAGTGCTAACATGTCCCTCAATACGTATCATGACCTGAATTATAGAAACTGCCCCTCTAAATACAGTATGGGCATTCTTCCTGTCTCATCTGGAAACAGGAGAAAAATGAGATAGCTGAAGTGAAAGGTGAGCACTCCATAGACAGGTGCCATTTTTGTGAACAGATCAAAATGCCTGTTTTCACATGCACAAATACTTTTGCATGTAAATGCAAGTTCACAAAACTCCATTGCATATATATGAAAAGAAAGCCTTAACCAGTAAAATCTGTGGCATCACAGAAGTATCCTACAACAGCTGCATTCTCAGTTTCAGAAACCTAGAATATTATTACGCAAGTTAGACCAGCAGTTCTTGGCAATTGCCTAATCCCTAACAAAGTTATACTGGTAATGGAATTAGTTACTGCATATGACGGATGGTTTTAAAAACAAATTTCTCTGTTAATTCTTAGGCTCTCTTTCCATAACTGTTATCTGCTTCTTTATTCTTTGTCAGGCATTGTCACCACATCTGTCTGAACTAAGCAACCTGGCAAATTAGGAAAAAAAGAATTTTACTGTAAATGTTTGATTATAAATGTGGTTTTTGCTGCAGCAGATGCCACTGAGTGCTAAATCCAGGACCCAACCATCAGTGAAGTTCTGGACTCCAAAAGGATAAACACAGGCTTTGAGGATGCATTTAACAGCAAACTAGGACAATGCCTTACTTCATTCTCAGTGTATGTTGCAGGTAAAAGGATATTCTAATCAGATTTGAGAAAATGTTTGTTTCTTCCTTGCAAAAACTTTGATTTACAAAAGCAAACACAATGTCCTACCATTTGGTTCCTCAGGTGGTGACCATTCCACAGCCATTTCTGTAGAGCTGATAGTTTCTACCGTTGGTGGGTGCAGCCCTTCTGGAGGAGCTTGTGCAGTAACTACTGTTACTGGCTGGCTCTTTAAGCAGCCTCCACTAGTACAAGCTTGCACAGAAAAAACATACTTTGTAAATGGAACGAGATTCCAAATAATTGCTGAAGTCTTTAAGCCCTCATACTGACCACAAGGCTGAAGATCAACCAAGCTAGTACATGTCAAAATGTACTTCTCTATGGGCCCAGAGTCATTAGAGATGCTTGTCCAGTAAAGTAAAACAGAGTGGTGACTAACAGGAAAGACAGGATTTAAATCCAAGCTTCCTACAGGTGTCCCAGATTTTGTTCTATATGTCACTGAGGCACTTCTTGTAAAACCATGAACATTGCTGGCTTGGATGGAATAGGAATAGAAGGTGTATGGAGCTAACATGGTATCAGTGAAGTTCTGAACACCTAGAACAAACAGGTGAAAAGAAAATTGTATCAGTATAATGCATTAAAAATAATCCTAATTTGTATACTTAAAGTCTGTCCAGCCCTAATCCAAGACATATTTATGCCTTTTAGCATGCACTTCTTGAGATCATTATAAATATTGTAACTTCTCAACTTCTTCGATTTCCTGTTTCTTTTTTTTTAAATAGGGTGAAAAAAACTCCCCTTTACCCTTTTTTATCTTCCACTACACACCAGCATCACTAGAGGAATAATTTTCCCACTGAATTTCTTAGTTCCTGCTTTAATCATGAAGATTAATACAATTATCTTCTCATTCCTCTTTTGCCTGAAAATAATTATTTCAAATGTAAATCAGCATCAATATTAGTGAAATCTAATTTAGAAAAAATCCCAAACCATTCTCTAGATTTTCAGACATTTGTTTTTGATTAATTTCATAGCATAAGACCAAACGTTTCAACTTTGTGTGCTTTCACTTCCTCACTTTACGGTAGTCATTAATAGCTCATTTGTAAAGGATTTGATCTTGGGTGAGAAATTAAGCATAAGTGCAAATAAATATTAAAAAGGTATATCCAAAGCCTATATTTACCTTCCTCACCCTTACTTTCTATTACTCTAGGTAGCTTTTTAGCATCCTGCGTATATCCTGGAAGCAGTTATACATCTGGATAGACTGGATACTCTTAGATTTTCAAGGTAAATGGAGAGGATACAGCTATTTCTAAGTCCTTTATGTACATCTGCACTGGCAAGCCACCTCCGAGTACAACTTAAAGAAGAGGACCACAAAATTGTGAGTATTGCTAGATATTCAACCCTTGACATTGTAGCACAAAAGCAGCAGTGTCATCCCAGTAATTGCTTACAGAATTGCAACTCCCTATAGTGATCACAACCTTATGGCTAGAATCCAGCAATGAGACAAGGTTATCTCATCTTCAGGCCTCTTAAACCATGGTACTTCAAGCAAGGCTGGAGAACATCTCTGCCAGCTGAGCACTGGCTATTGAGACTTCCACGTGCATCAGCACTGAGCAGGCAGCAGATTTCAGTCTTACTGGTAGGATTCAGCTAGTTCTTCTTCCGCTTTGGGGTTAGTATGCTGTTCAGAACTGTGAGTGCAAGTACTCTAGCATACTTTAGAATTGTTTCTGAGCTGCATGGACACATCTGCCCTGGCTGAAGTGCTTCTAGGCACAGGAGTGGGTACCAAAGATGGCAAGAGTCCTCAGAGCATGACAATCAGTTACTGTGAAGGACACAAGTAGGAGTTTGCCATGTGTCCAGTTTCCAGTTTTTTAGACCAAGATAAAAAATGGCCACAGATTGAGACAGCAAGTGAGAAACTTGGGAGAGCTGCACTTGATAGGATGATAGGATCATCCATTCTATGAGCCTTCAACTCAAAAGAGCCACAGAGAAGAAAAATAGTATGTAAAGGAAAAAAAAAAGAAAAGAAGAAATGAAGGGAAAAAACCCAGCTAGATTGCTATCAGCAGCCACAAGTACCACAAATCCTTGTGAGATTACAAAACAGGAGTATACTTTGAGCTTGACTCTAGGACCTCCCCCCAGCCCCAAACCATGTAATGACTTGCAACCTAATCTGGAACCAAAAAGCAACCTAGGATCCACCCTGAAACTAAGCGTTCTGGAACACAGTCTTGACCAAACTAGAGAGCTACAGCATGCTCTGGAAGCAACATGGATGCAGGACTGTGACCTAGACCAGACCCCCTCCCCCAATTAATCTAGAAACTGCTCTGGAACCAATAAATGGTCCTGAACAAACCAGCTGTCCTGAATGAACCAGCAAGCTAGAGTTACACCATGATCCTGAACCAGAAAGCAAACCAAAACATCATTCCACTCCAGGACTAGTAGGTGAGCTAAAATACTATCTAGAACACAAATCCAGAACCAACAAGGAACCTAAAATGCTACTTAGCTCCAGCATGCAATCTAGAATGTGATGTAGAACTGCCTCCCTACCAAACTTTCAACTCCATAATTCATACCTGCTCTAGAAATGACTGCACCAACACCACCCTAACTCTTCAAGCAACCAATCCCTGAAACCCCACTTGTGGAACAGACCTAGACTCATAGCAACTCCAGGGCCAACCCAGCCTCTAGGGCCCCAGGTCTACTGGCAACAACAAGCACATTAGTTTCCCCTTCTCTAGTACAGGGATTGGAAGAGGCAGATCACAGAGAATGCTAATGTTGTCTGCCAGAAAAGTAACCAGCAGCATCTCAACATCACAGGAAAGTACACTCAGTAGTGATGAGTACTGATGATGAGTATTGAAGGCAACTTTATTTCAATAGGAATATAGGCTAGAAAGGGTAGAAGGTTGTACATTCCTCAGATGAACAGTTCCAACCATCCTGTGTTCCCCAAGGCTCAGTATTGGGACCAGTTTTAATATCTTCTTCAATGAAGTGGATAAGGGGATAAAGTGCACCCTCAGTCAGTTTGCAGACAGAACCAAGTGGGGCAGTGTGCCCAGGTGGCAAGAACACCAATGGCATCCCAGTTTGTATCAGAAATAGTCTGGCCAGCAGGACTAGGAAAAGGATCACCTCCCTGTACTCAGCCCTGGTGAGGCTGCATCTTGAGCACTGTGTCCAGTTTTGGACCCCTAAGTAAAAGAAACACACTGAGGTGCTGAAGCGTGTCCAGAGAAGGGCAACAAAGCTGGTAAAGGGTCTAGAGCATAATTCTGATGAGAAGCAGCTGAGGAAGCTGGGGTTGTTTAGCCTGGAGAAAAAGAGACCCAGATGAGACACTATCGCTTTCTACAGCTGCCTGAAGGAGGCTGCAGTGACGTGGGGTTGATCTGTTCTCCCAAGTAACAAGTGACAGAATGAGAGGAAATTACCTCAAATTGTGCTAGGGGACATTTGATACTTGATATTAGGAGACTGAATACTAGGAAAAAGACCTTCATTTGACAGGGTGATCAGTTTTTGGAACAAGCTGCCTAGTGAAATGGTGGAATCACCGAGGAAGTATTCAAAAATTGGCACTTGGGAACATGGTTTAGTGATCACATGGTGGTTCTGGATTAATGATTTGACTCAATAATCTGAGAGTTCTTTTCCTGTCTTAATGCATTTATGATTCTGTATTTAGCTAAATTTATAAATAATTACAATAAACTTGATTTTGAGCTAGAATTGAAACTATCTTTGGGGTGGGTTTTTTTTCATATTTTAGAGCAAGTGTTTCATTTTATCCTCAAAAAACCCAGAACATTGTTTTACTTGGGCATTCTGCAATACTATCAGCAAGGTCACCATACTGATTTAGAAGATTAAACTTAAATTTCCTTGGGAAGTTTAATGTTTCTGTAAAACTCTCATTTAGCCATAAGATTATGTTCATCCAGTTGTACTCTCAACTCATATGCATTACACATTCCACACTGTATTGAGAGAGAAAAAATAACTTTATCAAAAGTTCTGGCAGCATTAACAAGGTATTCTTAATATTCAAAAGCCAGCAGATGATTTCACATCACTCAATAGGGGGATTGCCAGGAAATGTCAAAAATGTCTTTTGAAACCAATTTATGTTTTTAAGAAGATGTTTTGTTAAATAGCAACATGCTAATGTCTCATTATCCAGCTAAACACATTCTGAATTTTTTGCTCTCTACAAAGTATGTTGGGAGTGTCATGTAATAACACCCTCAACAATGCACTTTCAAGTACATTACTAAGCACAAATTTATGACGATGAAGTGTAATAGCTTTTCTTTTGAAATTAATTTGCATTTTTACTAAAGTTAGGCCTTTAAACCAAATTAAGGAATTGGAATATTCTCTGTTAGTTCTCCAAAATTTTTTTTATGCCACTTAATCCCATGCTTACATGGGGTGGCATACCTTTCCTCATTGTATGTACTGCAGAGTGCCAAAATTCACAGCATAAGCCACAGAGTAATGAACTGTAACAGTGCAGCATGAACCAAAACCAAGAAATGTAAGGTGCATTCCAAAGGATCTGTGCTTCCACTGAATAATAGCTTTTTTTCGTCTTCCCTCCAGGGTACACACCAACAATTAAAGACACTCAACTTCTGCAAAATATTAATGCTGCATTGGTAAGAAAATGAAAGAAGCTCCAGGAGCAGAAATCAAACCTCAGTGGCATTAAACCACACCTGTCTTCTTTAAAAAACACAATTATGTGTCATATATACATACAAACAATATCCAAATCCATCTCCTTGTCTTTGATAAGTGGATCAATATTAGCACAAAATGGACTTTCCAGCTTGGACAGAGTGTTGAATCCTTGAGGACTGCCTTCTGAGGATCCCTTGGCAAGCCTCAACATGAAAGAAGTCATGCTGCTAAAGACAAATCAGGAACTACATTGATAGCTTAACAGAAGGTGCTAAAAGTTAGAGGCCACAAAAAGCTTTCCTAATCTGTCAACAGTTTAAAACCAGGAAGATGAAAAAGGAAGTTTAAGTACATTATGGTCTATTCTGTTCAGCCTAATTCTTTGTCTTCGACTTTGACTCACAGATTTTGGAGTCTGTGTATATTTGCAGTGAATACTTTAGGTGAGCCAATTTTAAAGCTTCTAAAGTTAAAAAGTAAAAAAAATTATCAGCTATTTTGGGTTATTCCATTTGCCAGATTTTAAACTAGGGTATTCATTTCTTTCTAGCAAAATGAATAACATGGAACAGTAACTCCTTAAAGGAAAACAAGACAATTTATTAAATACCACAAAGAACAATGATGACAGAATTAATAAACATCACACATATCTAGGTATACACACACACAAACATGAAATTTTTCATGTCATCTTACTTACTATAAGGATGGTAGTCTTCGGTTGTATAAATTTCTTCCTCATCCCTATACAACTGGTAAATAAGCCTATTAGAATTTGGAGAGTCAGGAGAACTCCATGAAAGACTGATAACAGAAGAATTGAGAACGTCTCCTGTAGGAGGAGGTTGCTGGAAAGGAGCTAATACACACACAAAAACAGAGGATGTAAAAATTAAGATAATCAATAATCACACAAATTTAAATAAAAAATGCAAAGAAAATGCAGTTTTATTCAAAGAGAAAAAGAAATTGAGCAAATGTACAGTCACCAGGAGAAGACATTAACAGACTAAACCAATCCATCCAAATGCTCTCCAAAGCTTTTTATCCAAGTACATGAAACAAATATATACATTTAAACAAATGACAAATAAACCTAATCCCCCTTTCCAGTCCAAATTAAGCCAAGTACATCACAGTTTTCCAAACAATTTTTTAAAAATGTATTTCAAGACCTCTATAAAACAAGAACATATTTATCTGGTCACATTATTGAAGTTTATAATTCAATTAGAATTAGGGTTTTTTTAGAGGATTCATACCATTTTAGCATAGGCCAGCTAAAACTTCCTCTAACAGAATAGAAATGGAAAGTCCAACTAAGTGCAGATTTCACTGAAGAGTTACAATAAGCCTACTTAATCAAACTGCAAAAAACATAAAGGGGAAAACGTTGAAGGTTATTTAGACAATTGTCGTCCATTTGTTTCAAATAAAATTAATACAAATGAGAGCAAGGTGTCTGATATTTTAAGATATCAGCTTGGGATGACTATCCACCAAAATACTACTTTACTATCACCTCCATTAACTTTGGAAAATGTGCTACTTAATTGTTTGAGTATCAATAAAGAGAAAAACAAACTTGAAGTTCACAGGAAAAGTGCCTCACATTTTTAGAAAGAGCATTCAAAGTCCCTCTATGTCTCTTTTGTAATCCAACTGTATGATGATCATGGTCCTTTTTAAGACACCAGCTAATACTCAGAAATTAAACTTTATATGCATAGATACACATATGTATAAATGCACACATGGTTCACATAAACATGTAGTTTTATGGTTGGACTCAATTAGCTCAAAGATCCTTTCCAACCTAGATGATTCTATGAGTCTATATTTATATTATCATTCAAGTCAGAGCATGGGACCATGTACTGCTGTAATATTTATATTATCATTCAAGTCAGAGCGTGGGTCCATGTACTGCTGTAAGACCTCCAGCAATCCAGTTATCCTAAGGAAAGCCCTACTCTGCCCCTCAGTACACCATGCATTAGCTCAGAATAAGACTGTTCTGCTTTGACAGCCCATAATTGATATAGTTTAACTCCAAGGCAGATTGTGCCATTTACCTACCCTCTTCACCAAGCAAGGGAAAACCATAGGAGT